TGCACCCGTGTGGGAGACTCAGGAGAAGCTCCTGGCTCCTGGCTTCAGCCTGGCACAGCCCTTGCCATTGTGGCCATTTGAGGAGTGAAGCAGTAGATGGAAGATCTCTCTCTCTCTCTTAATCTTTCTTTCTTTCTCTCTCTCAATCTTTCTTTCTCTTCCCCTCTCCCTCCCTCTCCCCCCCCCAACTCTGGCTTTCAAATAAATAATTAAAAAAAGTTATATGAAAACTGATATGATAAAAGGGACTTACTCAATTATTTCAATTTTTTACATAATAGTTTATATTTTAGTATCCTAAACCCCAGTCCACATAAAATGTGATTTTCCTCTGTAGGCTACATTGCCTATTTATAGTAGAATTGGATACAAATGCTGGAGAAACAGATGGCAGCATATAGCTAGATGATAAACAGCATATAAACAGTGATTGTTACAGGGACAGGAATTGTGGGGAAAAGTTACTTTAATCTTATCTGTCATTTTTAGAATATAATAGAATTATAAAATGAATTAATACAAACCAAAGCCTGGTCAGACACAAGAGGTATATGACTAAATGTTTTTATTAGTCAGAAAACACTAACCTTTGGGGTTGCCATTGTGTACTGAGTTAGGCTACTGCTTGCAATGCTGTCATCCTATATTGATTTCTGGCTACTTTGCTGCCAATTCAGATTCCTGATAGTGTGTCTGGGAAGGGAGTGGAAAATGGCCCAAGTACTTGAGTCTCTTCCACACATGTAGGAGATTCAGATCGAATCACTAGTGGCTCTATCCTGGCCCAGAACTGGCTTTTGTAGCCAACTGGGAAGTGAACCATGAGAAGGAACATTTCTCCCTCTCTCTCCCTGACTCTTTGTTTTCTGTTGTGTTTATTTGTTACTATTTCAAAAACTACATCTTTAAAAAAAATGAAAACTAACCTCAGGTCATAATCCTTGAGGGATTCTTAATTAGTCCCGCACTCTGTTCATCACTCCCTTTGTCTTTTACCATAGGGATTATGTAATATTCTGCATTTAGTACAAATTAATTACCAAAGTCCTATCACTTAGTGCTCAAAATTAAGAACTACAATCATTACATGGAAGGCATACAAAAGAGAGAAAATGAGTTGCTTAAGATTAGCCAATTATCAGTCAGTGTGTTTTTGCCACTTTTTCTCTGCTCAGGAATCCTCATGGAATCCACATCCGGTTGGAACAGCTCCTGCTGGTAGAGATGTGTGATAACCAGGACTCACCAATTTGAACAGAGCAAATCAAATCTTAGGCATAGAGCAAACCAGAAATAGTTTCTGGGCCAAGAATCTTTACCCTCCTACTACCCCTACTCAAGCCCACATGAATCTTGACCATCCCCACTTGGACAGAAGCAGCAACAACAGCGAGAGTTCTATGATGTCCGGTGTTGACTTGCTTGTGAAGTTTGTATCAGAAACCAGCAAATAGATTAAAACTTCAGATCCAGCTATCAGAACAATAAGTGAAGATTTGTTAGGTTAGATAGGTGGACAGATGGATGTGTGGAGACACGGGATTCAGGAATTATTAGTCAAGTAATTAATGGATTGGAACTTTCGTATTTTCACAAAGAATTTGAAATGCACCCACCTTAAGCCCTACTATTTTATTCCAATATATACACTAGAAGAATGAAGATACCAGTGAAATATCTCCAAATTCCCAGCAAAATCATTGTGAGGTGTGTGTAAGATCTCTTACTATGGGGTAATTGCATTTGTGGGGTTTGTGATATCCCCTCAGGAATTGAAGCTTCTGGTTCCTTCCTGTGTGCTGTCACCTGCAAAGTACCCTTGTTTGAGCTTATAGACATTTATACAAAAGCTAGTTTCTAAGGGCAGTGGGGTTTCTGGTGGAAGTTAGGGTACTAGATGAAGATCCTGTTTCCTTTCTAACAAAGTTTTTTATGTTGAATAAACATGATTCATGTATGCCATGAAATATGCCCTCTGGCCCAAACTCTCTAGTGCATCACGGTAGAGGCAAAGGAGTCCTAAAGTGCTGAGGACTTGAAGCAATTATTGATTCTCCTGCCAGAGGATCAAGATTTCAGTGATGCTACCTCACCTCATCTATAAGCTTCCACTGATGGGTGATATTGGAAGTTTTATATGAACTTTGAGAGGGAAGATGTGAATGAGTTGAGAATAGACAAGGGCCTAGGAAACATTATTTATCGAAAAATTCTTGATGGTGTGGCCTTTAGTGGAGGGATAACCTGTCACATCTGAAAATCTGTCTACGCTACTCCCTAACACAGGCCTATTACTATATTCTGTCCTCATTATTTCCAAAATTGGAGCTCTCTGAAACCTAGTCTGCCATCACATTTTGTATCTGGAGTTAGTGCTGATGCTCCCTGTATCCTGATAGTTCTTTCTGGTAGCTCAGGAGTTGTCTGGATTTTTATAGCAGATAAAAAAGATGCAAAAAAGTGTGAAGTATGTTTTAGGAGATAATCCTGTTGACAAGTGTCAAGTGATTAGTTTCAGTAGTATTCCTCACTTTACCACAGGTAACTGCAAACTGTTTACTTTTGAGATCCATTTAAGAAAGTGAAGCCAATGTAGAAGAAACACTGTTTTAGAAGACTTTTCCTTGAACATGACTGTCATTGTCCCACCAGTAGTTTCTATGGATTGTGTGAATCCAACAGGTATTTCTTTTTAAAGATTTATTTTATTTATTTGAAGGACAGAGTTACAGAGAGAGGTAAGGACAGAGAGAAAGGTCTTCCATCTGCTGGTTCAGTCCCCAAATGGCCGCAACGGCCGGAGCTGCACCGATCTGAAGCCAGGAGCCAGGAGCTTCTTCCGGGTCTCCCACGTGGGTGTAGGGGCCCAAGGAGTTGGGCTGTCTTCTACTACTGCTATCCCAGGCCATAGCAGAGAGCTGGATTGGAAGTAGAGCAGCTGGGACTTGAACCGGTGCCCATATGGGATGCTGGCACTTCAGGCCAGGGCATTAACCCGCTGCACCACAGCGCCGGCCCCTATCCAACAGGTTTATAGTGCAAGTTTTTCTCCATTCATGATAGTTATCCACTCTTGATAATCCTAAATGCTGCAGAAATTTAGTATGAGGTCATTTTCAATTATTTAAAATTGAGCTAAATCACATTTTACTGTCAGTTACTTTTTTAAATATAAATAAAACAGAATAGAGCACCACATATTTGTAAAAACATTAAAATAGTCTTTTGGTCTTCAGGCAGTTTGTGTGGCAGCAGCCTTGCTGACATCCTTGCTGACATGGTTAGCATGAATCATGCTCACAGAAATGTCTGTGTGTGATTGTGAAGTTCTCTTGGTTGAATTTGGCTTATAATTATTTCCTGCTCACCAAGGTATATTAACATTTGATTGTTAATTGTTGATTTGTTAATCATTTGATTTGTTGATTTGTTAATCAACAAAAACATGTAGCTTAAAAGTACAACTATTTTATTTGTAATTCTTTTTAAAAATTATTTATTTGAAAGTTAGAATAAGAGAAAGCAAGAGAGAGAGAGAGAGAATGAATGAATGAATGTTCTAACTGCTGGTTTACTCCCCCAGTGTCTTTAGCATTCAGGACCACGGAAGACTAAAGCCAGTAGGTAAGAACTCCATCTGAGTGTTGATCCATGATGCAGTGTCTCCCAGGTACTTTAGCAGGAAGTTACATTTGAACTGTGGAATAGCCAGGAGACAAACCTGTGTCACAAGTAGCAGTTTAACCTGCTTACCACATGTCCATTCCTCCTATGTTTAGTGGTTTGCTCCGGTTCTTTCCTAGTCTCTCTGTCTCCAACATGCAAGTTACAAACTTCTTCACAAGATAGCTGTCTAATAAGGCAAACCCCAGTAGGCAAATACTTTTTAAAGTATATTGGTATAATATTCTTTGAAGATGGTATCATAGTCTTTCATTAAAGAATGTGAAATGGCAAAGTCAAGGATTACTGCGTTGAATGATATTGTAAAGACTTGGATGCAGGGAAGTGTCATTTGGAATAATTACTGGAAAGGTGTACTACAATGAAGATAGGTTATATCCCCTTCTGTTGCAGAAGAATTCATATTGCAAGAAGTATATGTTCTATGGATTTGTAGGTGTACAGCAAGAGGTGTTCCAGGGGAAACACTAAAATGGAGCATTGTGTGGTACATCTGTATCATTGAGAAAAGGTTAATACCACCCACGTAATTATCTTTAGTGTAGATTTTAGTGACAGCATGGTGTTTCCACGGCATACTATAAGTCTTCAGTCATCCTTGAAATTAACAATTATTTCTTTTCAGTAAATTTATTTTTTTTAAAGAATTATTTATTTATTTATTTATTTTTATTTTTTGACAGGCAGAGTGGACAGTGAGAGAGAGAGACAGAGAGAAAGGTCTTCCTTTGCCGTTGGTTCACCCTCCAATGGCCGCCGTGGCCGGTGCACCGCGCTGATCCGATGGCAGGAGCCAGGAGCCAGGTGCTTTTCCTGGTCTCCCATGGGGTGCAGGGCCCAAGCACCTGGGCCATCCTCCACTGCACTCCCTGGCCACAGCAGAGAGCTGGCCTGGAAGAGGGGCAACCGGGACAGAATCCGGCGCCCCGACCTGGACTAGAACCCGGTGTGCCGGCGTTGCAAGGCGGAGGATTAGCCTAGTGAGCCGCGGCGCCGGCCTCAGTAAATTTATTACAAAAAATTATCAAATAAATGAAATAAGTATTTCTGTTAACCTAATTACAATTGCTTGTAATCACTGCTAATTAGTGTACTTGTTGGTGCTCTTTCAGGGAGATCTTTTGTGCGTCTTCTCATGAGTAAAGCACTGTTCCTGCACAGGGCACCTGATTGTTTTTGTTTTCCCAGCTAAAGTGTCTCTTATTCCTTTCTATCATGATCTTGCTTTGCTATGTAGAATCTAGGAGCAAGCGAGACCAGTTCTCTCACAACTCCCACCATTTTCATTTCTCCCTCCCTCCCACTTTGTTTTCTAGGTAATAATTTTAGAGTACTCTACGTGTTTTCAAGAGCAAAGAAAATGAATACATCTCCAGTAAGTCTGTGTGTTTATACTTTAGTGTATCTTATATTTTCAGAGCCTTATGAAGATTTGATAATCAAAATGGAAAAGTAAATATAACTCAATATCAGAGAATATTTATTAACAAGATAGAGTTATGTTTATAAGACACTAGAGCCATCTAAGCTGTTTGCAGATTTGTTTCTGTTTTTTCTGATGACAAAACAAAAAAGACTTATTTGTTATATAATTCAAATTGAAACTCGGTAGAAAATTTGCTAAATTTGTGGGATGTAGAGTCTGAAACAGTTTTATTGATGTTATAGATGATATAATTGATAGTCATGTACTGAAAACCTAGAAATAAATACTCAAAATTTTGAACTGGAAAAAGCTACCCAGTGATAAAAACAAATAATTTAATAGCTTTTTTTTTAATTACTAAAATAGTGTGGTCCTCAATAGCTTTTGGAAAGCTATACTGGATTCCTGGATTGGATCAAGAATGTGTAGAGGGCCAGCGCCGCGGCTCAATAGGGTAATCCTCCGCCTCCGGCACCGGCACACCAGGTTCTAGTTCCGGTCGCGGCGCCAGTTCTGTCCCAGTTACTCCTATTCCAGTCCAGCTCTCTGCTATGGCCCGGGAGTGCAGTGGAGGATGGCCAAGTGCTTGGGCCCTGCACCCGCATGGGAGACCAGGAGAAGCACTTGGCTCCTGGCTTCGGATCAGCACGGCCGCAGCACGCTGGCCACGGCGGCCATTGGAGGGTGAACCAACAGCAAAAGGAAGACCTTTCTCTCTTTCTCTCACTGTCCACTCTGCCTGTCAAAAAAAAAAAATAATAAAAAAGAGAAAGAATGTGTAGAGGACAGAATCTTTCTCCAGTTCTTAAATAACTTGTGATACATTCCTCTCTGCCAAACTATATATCCAGGTCAACTGCAAACTCTTCAAAGTTATATATTCAAGTAAATAACTCCAATCTTTATTTGGAATTTCATGTACTCAAAATAATCTCAATTCAATTCTTCAAATATTTATCAATAACATACTCAAAGCCAATGCTATTCTCTGGTCTTTGTCTTACTTAAATCTTGCTATATAGATAATGAGAGAGAGAGACTAAGACAGAAGAGGTAGAGCTGTTAACCACTGATTCAGTCCAAAATGCTCAGAGCAACCAGGGCTTGGGTAAGGCTGAAGCCAAGAGCCAGCAAGGAAACCCTGACCCTCCATATGGGTGGAAGAAGCCCAATTCCTTTAGGCAGCACTATTGCCTCCCAGAATCTGCACTGGTGAGCATATGGCATCAGGAGCCAGTGTTGGGAATCAAACCAAGGAACTCTGATTTTGGATTGGGATATCATAACTGGCATCATAAACATTAGTCTAAACATCTACTCTGCTTCTTAATTGCTTTTGTCTGCCATATTTGAAAGCATTGTACATGATCCGCTTCTGAAGATTCTGGTTTTTTGTCTCCATGATGACGTTGCTGGTGGTTTCTTGCTTTTCTCCTTGAACTCTTCTATTTTTTCTCCATGATATCATTTATCCAAGGATTCTGTGTGCTCTCCCGTTCATCCCACTCTCCAATGCTCTTTTTAAAAAGATTTATGTATGCATATATGTATATATGTATTTGTGCATATATTTGAAAGGCAGAGAAAAACAGAGAGAGAGACAGAGAGGTATTCCATCTCCTACTTCATTCATCAAGTTGTCACAAAAACCATGTCTGGGTTAGACTAAAACCAGGAACCAGAAACTCCATCCTAGTATCTCATATGGGTGCCAGGAACCCCAGTACTTAGACCATCTTCTGCTTCTTTCCCAAGAACATTAGCAGGAAGCTGGATCAGAAGTAGAGCAACCGGGCCTGGCGCTGTGGAGTAGTAAGTTAAGCCACCGCCTGCAGTGCTGGCATCCCATATAGGTGCTGGTTCAAGTCCTGGCTGTTTCACTTCTGGCACCATGTTATGTAATGCTGTTCTCATAAGCAGTGACTTAACTTCCTGGCCGTCTTCTTTTGGCCAAAGTGTATCCTAGATGTGCTAAATGATGGCTGAAGTAGCTGAGTTCCTGCCAACCACATTGGAAACCCAGAATGAATTCTAGGCACTGGATATTGTGGTCATTTGGGAAGCGAACTAGAAGATGGGAGAGCTCTCTCTCTTTAACTGTTTGTTTCTCTATCTTGCAAATAAATGAAAATCAATAAAAGTTTTTAAAAATATACTTCTTAACTCACCTGAAACACATATGGGGTGTGTGCTTTTGAGCCTTGACTCTGCTTCCAATTCCAGCTTTCTGCTAATGCAGACCTTAGTAGGCAGGAGGTGATGGCTCAGGTACTTGGGTCCCTGCCATCCACATCGGAGATTAAATTCCAGGCTTCTGGTTTCAGCCTGGCCCAGCCCTGGCTGTTGTGGACATTTGGGGAGTGAATAAGCAGATAGAAGTTTTATCTATTATTGTCTTTCTTTCAAATAAAAGTCAGTAAATAACTAAATGATATTAAAATGTTTTATAGCTTTTGCTTATTTACAATATATAATGCTGTCTGTAATTTTACTAACACAAAATTTTATGTTTCTAGCCCAAAGGTAATTTATAATATTTTAAACTCTTTTTTTCAACTTTTATTTAATAAATATAAATTTCCAAAGTACAACTTTTGAATTATAACAGCTTTTTCCCCCATAACCTCCCTCCCACCCACAACCGTCCCATCTCCCACTCCCTTTCCCATCCCATTTTTCATCATGATTCATTTTCTATTATCCTTATATACAGAAGATCAAATTAGTATATACTACATAAAGATTTCAACAGACTGCACCCACAAAGACACACAAAGTATAGAGTACTATTTGAGTAGTAGTTTTACCGTTAATTTGCATAGTACAACACATTAAGGACAGAGGTTCTATATGGGAGCAGGTGCACAGTGACTCCCATTGTTGATTTAACAATTGACGCTCTTATTTATGGTGTCAGTAATCACCCGAGGCTCTTGTCATGAGTTGCCAAGGATATGGGAGCCTCTTGAGTTCACCAACTCCGATCTTATTTAGACAAGGCCATATTCAAAGTGGAAGTACTCTCCTCTCTTCGAGAAAGGTACCTCCTTCTTTGATGGCCCGTTCTTACCGCTGGGGTCTTCTTTGATGGCCCGTTCTTACCGCTGGGGTCTCACTCACAGAGATCTTTCATTTAGTTTTTTTTTTTTTCCCACAGTATCTTGGCTTTAAATGCCTGCGAAACTCTCATGGGCTTTTTAGCCAAATCCAAATGCCTTAGGGGCTGATTCTGAGGCCAGAGTGCTGTTTATGGCATTTTCCATTCTATGAAGCTGCTGTGTATCCTGCTTCATTCTCTCCTTTTTAATTCTATCAATTACTATTTGTAGACATTTGTCTTACTTATGTAATCCCTTTGGACACTTAATCCTATCCTTTTGATCAATTATGAACTTAAACTGATCACTTTAACAAGTAAGATGTCCTTGGTATCTGCCACCTTGATAGGATTGAATTGGAATCCCCTGGCACGTTTCTAGCTCTACCATTAGGGGTAAGTCCAAGTGAGCATGTGCCAAGCTGTACATCTCTTCCCTCTCTTATTCCCACTCCTACATTTAACAGAGATCACTTTTCAGTTAAATTTAAACACCTAAGAATAATTGTGTGTTAATTACAGAGTTCAACCAATAGTATTAAGTAGAACAAAAAAAATAGTAAAAGGGATAAAGTATTAAATTGTACATCAACAGTTGGGACAAGGGTTGATCAAGTCACTTTCTCATGGTGTCCATTTCACTTTAACAGGTTTCCTTTTTGGTGCTTGGTTAGTTGTCACCAATCAGGGAGAACATATGATATTTGTCCCTTTGGGACTGGCTCATTTCACTCAGCATGATGTTTTCCAGATTCCTCCATTTTGTTGCAAACGACCAGATTTTTTTTTTACTGCTGTATAGTATTCTATAGAGTCCATATCCCATAATTTCTTTATCCAGTCTTCTGTTGATGGGCATTTAGGTTGATTCCAGGTCTTAGCTATTGTGAATTGAGCTGCAATAAACCTTGAGGTGCAGACAGCTCTTTTATTTGCCAATTTAATTTCCTTTGGGTAAATTCCAAGGAGTGGGATGGCTGGGTAGTATGGTAGGGCTATATTCAGGTTTCTGAGGAATCTCCAAACTAACTTCCATAGTGGCTTTACCAGTTTGCATTCCCACCAACAGTGGATTAGTGTCCCTTTTCCCCCACATCGTTGCCACCATGTGTTTTCAGTTGATTTCTCTTTGTAAGCCATTCTAACCAGGGTGAGGTGAACCCTCATTGTGGTTTTGATTTGCATTTCCCTGATTGCTAGTGATCTTGAACATTTTTTCATGTGTCTGTTGGATTTCCTCTTTTGAAAATTGTCTACTTAGGTCCTTGGCCCATCTCTTAAGTGAGTTGTTTGTTTTGTTGTTGTGGGGTTTCTTGATCTCTTTGTAGATTCTGTTTATTAATTCTTTATAGGTTGCATAATTTGCAAATATTTTTTCCCATTCTGTTGGTTGCTTTCACTCTCCTAACTGTTTCTTTTGCAGTACAGAAACTTCTCAATTTGATGTAATCCCAGTTGTTAGTTTTGTCTTTGCCTGTGCCTCTGGGGTCTTTTCCAAAAAGTCTTTGCCTGTGCCTATATCTTGCAGGGTTTCTCCGATGTTCTCTAAAAATTTGAATGTGTCATCATAGATTTAGATCTTTAATCCATGTTGAGTGGATTTTTGTGTTAAGTGTACGGTAGGAGTCTTGCTTCATTCTTCTGCACGTGGAAATCCAGTTTTCCCAGCACCATTTGTTGAATAGACTGTCCTTGCTCCAGGAATTGGTTTTAGAACCTTGATCAAATATAAGTTGGTTGTAGATGTTTGGATTGGTTTTGGTGTTTCTATTCTGTTCCATTGTTCTATCCATCTGTTTCTGTACCAGTACCGTACTGTTTTGATTATAACTGCCCTGTAGTATGTTCTGAA